CAGAAGTGAAAAATTTTGACACACCAAGATTTTTCCTCAAAATCTGTCTTTATATGCTACTTCTGCTTTCCATGAAGCTGTTACATTTTCTCTTAATTTTGCAAATTCATGATTCCTTTCTTTATTCACTCACTGAATCGTTCCAGTTATCACATGCAGCATAATGACAGGTGCTAAACATGCTATTTTTCTGTACTTTGGAATTCCAAAATAACAGGGAGAAAAAGACAGGTTAAACAAATAACTATTATGCAAAACTGTATTTAACACTAATGATGTGTTACAGAGTTCAGAAGAGAGACTAAACCAGCCATGGGATCTGAGCCAAATCTTGAAGGACGAGTAAAAGAGTACAAATCAGGAGCAGCAGCAACAATCAAAGTAGATAAGAAATCATGAATAGAGAAAAATAAGTGCCACTTACTCTGTGTTTACTTCTTGCCAGGCACCACTTGTACTTACCACATTTCAGAGAAAACTGAGGCTGAGTTAAATAGTTTACCCAAGAATGCAAGTTTTTTTGAAAGCATGATTAAATAATAGTATACACTGGAAATGTCAAAACTATTTAGTAGGTTAGAATGGACAAGGCCATCAATATTTTTAAGAACTGAGCTTCCTTGTAAAGTTGATTTTGAATCCCACAACTAGAAGCTTAGGAATAGAGAAATATTAGAACAGGCTTAAATAAAGGATATTGGAGGGATTAGTCTAAAATACATTAAATAAAAACCTAACAGTGACAAACATAACAGAAGGGAGAGGCCAAATCTGAGATCTTCGTATAATCTTATTTATATTTTCTTATAATCTATTTTCTTGTCCTCTCTTGGTTTTATCTCCCAATGGTGTAGTCACAGAACAGGTATAATTAATTTGCCTTTTGTTCATACTGTATAAATTTGTTCCTAAACAACAACAACAGTTAACACACGTAACAACAGCTAATTTAATGACCTTGTCAGTTGAGAGGTAAGAAATCAAATTTATATTAATATAAATGAATTAACTTTTCAAGCAAAAAATGTTTTAAAATATACTTTGATGATGGAAGTGCTAAGATTTAGAAAATGAATATAAAGAACATGGCACAAGGAAAACATGTTAAAATAAAGCTTAAGTTAAAAACCAGGATGACTGGAATAATGGGAAAGGAGAAATAAAGAGAAAAATGAGCAGTGGGAGATGAGACTTCTGCTTACTACACGGCCCCCCATGGTGGGGGGGGGGGAAATGGAAGGAGTTTACATATTTTCTTTTAGGCAGATTCTATTTGAACTATCTTATTACCTGTCTCCTGTGAACAGGACCAGTGCACAGGAGAAAAGTTAAGGGCTGAGCTATGTACTTGAGACACAACTACAAAGACATGAAAAGTTGCAGCCCTGGGAGTGGTGGATCACTCTAATTATTGGTGGAAGATGGGAGGGGTTACAGGAAAAAAATTCTTTACAACCAATTAATAAATGTCTTGGTTCTGGAACTTGAAGCTACTTCCTGGATTTTCTCTAGAAAAGGATTTGGGAAAAGTCCTTTGCATTTGAGCCTTCTACCACAATTTCAAATTCGTAAAAATGCAACACAGCTCACCCAGAAAAGGAAAACAGGAACTGTCCTTGGCTTAAGAGTTTCTGTAACTATGTTTAAAAAGTCTGCAGGACACACTGCACAACAAATGAACAATTTTAAAGAACTTCATTATGCTTCTTCAGATAACTTCCTATTTAATCCAGTGGCCTAAGGTGAAAAGGTCATTAAATTTCAAAGCCTAGTAGTATCAGTAAAAAGTAACTGCACAATTTAAAAAGGCAAAGATAATTGTTCTACATTAATTTCTACAATGTTTCCTACCACAGGAAATACATAAAAACGATACTAGTAGCATAAACCTTTCAAATGTGCTTAGCTATAATAAACTTGTTCAAAAATGATCAGACTACAAACTAAATTTGGAAACCAACACTATTAATGATTGGCATTTGCAATTTTTAAGATTTACTTATTTATGCATACAAGAGCTGGGGTACAGGCCTGAGGTGTGGGGGGAGGGTGGGCAGGGAAGTGGGGTGAGAGGATTCACCAGAGACAGAGTAGAGAACAGAAGAGGCAGATTGACCTAAGTACACTGCTGAGGGGAGCCGCCGGCAAGTCTGGAGAGGTCTGCTGCACCATGTGGGTTGCTCCCTGGCCCGCCAGGGGACTGAACTCTTGCTGCAGAGGTTGCGGGCAACTTTACAGGTTGCGCCTTAACCCCTTGCACCACCAGGGAGGCCCCATTTGCAATTTTTATTGAAAGCAAAATAACTATTATTTCTCCTTCAAAATAAGCTGTCAACAAATTACAAAGAAATGCCCAGAAGAGAGATCTATCAACATTTGTTTAAAGGAGCATAATGTCACAAAAGCATCAACTGTGTTCAAACATATTCAGGTTAAAATACCACCTGAGCCACTTACTAGATGTTGGGTGAATGACTTAAGCTTTTAAAACCTTACTTCACTTATCTGAAATGATACTAATAAAACCTACCTCAAATTTACAACACATTAACCAATGTAATATCTGAGGGAGGCACACAAAAGTACCATGTAAGTCTTAACAGCTTTCCTGCCTTAGCTCTGCAATCAACAATGGAAATTTCTAGAGCTTAAAAATATACACTGATTTTTGAAAATGAGAGTAATTTCAAATAACAAAGCAGAAAGAATAACATGATTTAAGTCTTTGTTTAAAAATATCACCCTTAAATCTTCTCTCTAATTCCACACCCAATATCCCTCCTGCCAAGAGATTAAAAGAACATTTAGGTAACTAAAGTGACAAAAATGTTAGAATTTCACTTTATCAACTACTTGGGTTTAATCCAAAAGTTTGGTGAGCCATTTAATTAAATAACTAAATATAGCAGTGAAATCTAAATGTATAAATATCTACAGATTATTCTTACAAAATTCTTAACTACAAAAACAGCAAATTCCTTCAAATTACGATATTAAGTCTTAAAATACTGTGCTGGGCAAGCTTAGACAGAATCCCCCACTCCCCCAGCTAAGTGTCCTGGAAGTGCCTGATAATAAGCAATCTTGTCATCTCCTTTGGATAAACTTCGCTATTTTAGGCCTTTACAACACTTGGCAGGTCTATATTAACTCCCACACTGAGCACTCTCCTCATATCTAGCCACTTGAGCTACTCACCACTTAGGTTTAGTAGAATTAAAACATGACAATCTTTTAAAAAAAATGTTAATACTAAATTTTAAACATGTGTATACAATCTCAGTTACCAACTTAGGTTTATCTATCAATATTACACATGTGTTGCTACACAGCAACTTTTATGTATGTAGGATCTGCCTCTCAGGTCTGAGGATTTTGCAGACCTTCTTGCTCTAATTTTTTTTTAATTAACACTTTCACCAAAGAGCACAGGGAAAAAAATATTTCTACATTTCTGCATTCACATCAGCAAGGAGAGAGAAATTACATTTCAGTGCAAGAACACAGGATTATGAAAACCCTTGGAACACAGCATTCCAACTGCAACTATGCATCCATAGGGCTACATTTAGGCTTTCTTTTTTTTTAATTTTATATACATTTTTTACATCATTTTTCATTTTTGCACAATGTATGCATTTTCATCTCGGTTATAGTCCCAATAAGGGCGGGTGGGAAGTGTACATTTAGGATGTGTGTGCCTTTCAGCAGTATCTGGCTGTATTGCTTTGGAACTTCAAAAAACGAACACTGTTTCATTAAGAATGGACACTCTAAAAACTACCTTCTTCATGTTATATCACTTCTAAATTTGGGAGAAATGGCGAGTTCCTTTCCAGGAAATACTCAAAATTAGTAAGATCCCCTCCCTGTCCCCCCACTCCCCACCCCCGGAAAATGGAGCCTTCCAGCAGCCAAAAAAAAAAAAAAAAAGAAAGAAAGAAAGAAAAAGAAAAAAAAAGGCGAAAACAGAGAGAACTAGTTCAATGATCAGATTTCTTCTTTTAAATGCCTGAGAACTTAAGTCGTTCATCTGGTTCCAGTGCTGTCACAGCATCTAAGACACAGTAAATGCAGTTGCACAATCTTCTCTCCTCGGAAGGCGTCTTCGCAGGACGACGGGGCGCCACCAGATCGGCCCCCGCCGCCAACCTGAGTAGGAAACAACTCTGGGGGGGAAGGGGGCCCTTTTTCTTTTCCCTTTTTTTTTGGGGGGTGTGTGTGTGTGTGTGTGTGTGCATGCGCGCGCGCGCGCGACAGAGAAACTCAGCAAGCTCCCAGGGAACAAGGGCGCTGCAAAGCCTACCGCTAAAGCCGGCAGAGTCAGAGACTCGCAACGAGAAAGGGAAAAGCGTCGACAGCAGGGAGAGGAAGTCGTCTGCTTCTGCGGGGAGCGAGAAGGGACGGTCTGCTTCCAAGCCATCTCCCCCTCAGCCCTCGCCGGCTCACACTCTCCCGCCGGGCCGGGCCCGGTCTCGAGCCGCTCCCACGCAGGACCCCGGACCCCGGCGCGGGCCTCCCTCCGGCCCTGGCGCTGGAGACGGTCCCCGGCGCTGGAGAGGGTCCCCGGCGCTGGAGAGGGTCCCCCGGCGCTGGAGAGGGTCCCCGGCGCCTGAGAGGGTCCCCCGGCGCTGGAGAGGGTCCCCCGGCGCAGGAGACGGGCCCCGGCGTTGGAGAGGGTCCCCGGGGCCGCCGCCCTCCGCCCCCTCCCCCGCCCGCCGCGCCAGGCGCCGCCGCCCCGCTCCGGCTTCCTATTTTCGGAGCCCACACCCTACAAGGAGCCAAGCCGAGCGCGCAGGCCTGAGAGAGACCTGCCCCCGCGCGCGGCCTCGAGTGACTGACAGGGGCAGGCACCGGGCGCGGCGAGGCCGGGTGAGGAAGGGCAGCCGCGGGCGCACGCGACGGCCCAGGCGCTCCGCCCGCGGCCAGACTCCCGGCTACTAGGCCAGGCCGCTGCGGGCTCCCCGGCCGACCAGCCCCGGCGCCCCCGCGGCTCTTACCTTCTCCTCATCAGACAACTGCTCCTCTAGATCCGCCATTTTCCTTCTGGCGACAAACCGCGGCGGCGGCGGCCACCTGACTTCCCCCTTTCCGAGCGGTCCTCCGCGCCGCGCGCCCCCGCCAAGGGAGGGGCCCGCAGCCTAGGCCGCTGCGCACGCGCGCCGGGAGCCCCGCCTCCTTCCGCCCGGCCGGCGGGGACGGAGCGCCGCGGCGCGCATGCGCGGGCACCTCGGCGGCCGGGCCAGGGGAGGAGGCGTTTTCTCCTCCTGCAGCAGGCTTGTCAGCATCCTGAGTATAGGATTCTCTCCCCCCCAGTGACCATATGGACCCACTCTGCCACGAGTACATTCTGAGCCCTTGGTTATGTTCCCATCAAGCCTTGGACTCTGCCAGCTAAAATGTGAAAAAGTGTACGAATAGAAGCTTGTGAAACATTCTGGTTTAAAAAAATGATTAGAAAATATTCAGCTTTCATTAAAATATGCACACACAATCCGGTCCATGATGGGAGGAATGTTCTTGATATATTCGTTTTTTCACTGAAAAAATATTTATTGCTCCCTGTGTTGTGTGCCAAGTATATTGTATACTCTTGGGGGTATAAAATATTAAGCAGAAACCAGAGAAAACAAGTTTCTCAAGAAGCTCACTGTCTAATCATTAAATAAATATATTAAGAAGTTGGCAAAGACACTGTACTAGTGCAGAGGAATACACAGTTATGTTATACATGGTCTTATCCTTCTGAATGGAGTTGCCAGGTGGAATACAGGAAACCAGTAAAATTTGAATTTCAGATAAACAAATACTTTAAGTATGTCCCATGAAGAATTTTAGGTACGTTTATACTGAAAGATGTTACTTTTATTTGCTAAATCTGTCAACTGCACTTCTGGAGTTTCAAGTTTAGCAAGAGAATGAACAGATATATGAATTGGATATATGAATTGGCTACAACTTTGTTACAATACAGCTGCTAATTCAGTTAAGTATGGGATGGAGCTGGAGAATTTTGCTTTTCTAATAAACTCCGAGATCATGCAATTGCTACTGGTTTGGAGATCACACTGTGTAGCAAGGCCTTTGTGTTTAGATAGGAGTTAAGACTTAAATCATTATATTGTTCACCTGAAACTAATACAATGTTATATGGGAATTATAGTTCGATAAAAATATAAATGAAAAGACTGCTCAGTAGAGAAAAAAGCTGTTGATAACTTTTAAACAGTGCAATGACATAATCAGAAATATGTTTAGCAAGATGAATCTGGCAAGTGCATTTAAAAGACACATGTGAGAGAAACTTAGAGTTCAAATAACTATTCCTATGCAGAACACTGACATTTAGTATTTTACTGAGTGTTTCATGTTGTGCAAATCATTGTCTCTTGTGAATGGAAAGCAAACAAAAGCCATGCTAATGAAAAATTCTTAGTCCCTTTGGGGAGAAAATGGGAAGGAGAAGTATGCAGGAAAAAGTGGGTGTCCTGTGGTGGATAGATGTGCATGAAAGACATCAAAGAGAACACACCACACAGTTTGACCAAGGACATCATTGGATGTAAGTAAATAACATGTTTACTCTTTTACAGTTTACAAGTTATTGCTTCATTGATCTCTCACTGCAACAGAAAGAATTAAGGTATTTGTTACACCCATTTTACAGGAGAAAAAACTGAGGTTAAATATTTATCCAAGGTTGTACAGCTCCTCACATGTTGAGTTGGGATTGGAACCAAGACATCCTATTCTGTATCTTGTATTCTTTACACTTGGAAATCTTCTTTTCTCCCTCTCTAAAGCCTAGACATTCCCCACCAAATAAAACTTAATGAAGGCAATCACAATCCCATCCCATCAATTTTATTCCACCACCTACTGCATAAAGAGTATTTCCGGGTTTCCTTCTTTTGTTTATTATTTACTCAATAGCAGCTAATATAGATAACTTGTGCACAGTGGGCAGTTAGGAAATGTTACTTTAATTGATAACTCTCTTCCTCTAGAAATCTTTCCCAAATATGGTAATGTTTTGCAATAATTTGAGTCATACATGTTCATAATTGCAAACTTGGTGATATTTTTATATGTGGTTCCCCATAGTGACACATCAACAATTATGTATAATTTCTAATAATCCTTTCAAAAGCCTCCCCAAACCACCCTTTTTATATAGTTAAAAAGGAATAATTACAGAATTCATGTAACCTAGGAATTCTGGGGAGGCATGCATACTGCCTATTATGAAAGATTCAGGTTCCTTAAGCTCAAGCTTCCTTTTCTGTAATGTACCCCATTACACCTGCAGGCTTCCATCTGGAGCCATCTATGTTGCCATATGAGACTTGGGGACAAATGAAACTTATGCAAATATGCTTATGCTCTTGTTTCATGTGCCATGAGTAACAGAGCCCTCTGTCTCTAAGTCAGGAGTCTTGTATTTTATGCTGGCATCCATGACACTGTCCCAGGTTAATTTGTTATCTTGAAAGCAGGGCAGAATCACAGACCCTTTATAAAAGAGAATTGATTCTAGGAAGTGACATTTACACATTTAGTATAGGTACTCTACAATTTATTTTTAAAATAAATTTTGTTTTACTATGAAATACTTCAAATATGCAGTGGAGAACAGAGATTAAAAATATCTGCATCTCCACAGCCTTGCTTTATCAAATGCTAACTAGCATTCTGAGATACATGCTTTCATGTGCTGTTTCAAAATACATCACACATACAGGTGAGGTTCCTGGTGTCTTCTTCCTCATCTCATTCTCCTCTGTCTACCCTCTTTCTCTAAAGCAAACACAATATGAATTCAGTGTGTATCATTCTGTACTATTTATTTCATTGATAAAATATTTTATCAACAATAGTTTACATGCAAATGATAAATGAAGGCTTCAGGAGAAGATCAACTAAACTTCCCTGGATTATAAAATGTCTTTATTTTTCCTGTGAGTTTACATGTGCTCTGACAGGGGAAGTCCAGCAGAAAGGCTGTGAGTAAATTCTGGGACATACTGGGCCACCAGAGTGAATGTGGGTCAGATTTAAGACATCTGACAGAAATGAGTTAAGGGGATTGGAAGGGTAGTCTTCTTTATGTGCTTTCCTTTTCTTTTATTTTTTTAAAAAAATATTTATTTATTTATGCATACAAGAACTGGGGTACAGGGCCCCCCCAGTGGTGCAGCGGGTTGAGCACAGCGCTGTGAAGCTGTCTGCAGCTTCTGCAGCACAGGTTCGATTCCCGGTCGGCCAGGGAGATTCCCACATGGCACAGCAGACCTCTCCTGTCGCGCCCGCTGCTCCCCTAAGCAGTGTATTTCGGTCGTCTGCCTGTTCTGCTTCCACCTCTGTCTCTGGTGAATCCTCTCTCTCCTGTGCCTCTCCCCTATACCCCAGTTCTTGTATAAAAATAAATAAATCTTTGGGCCTTCCCGGTGGCGCAGCGATTGAACGCTGGGTTGTGAAGCTGCCTGCAGCCTCTGCAGCGCTGGCTCGATACCCGGCTGCTCCCGGGCCACCAGAGGAGGGTCCCGCATGGCGCGCAGACTCTCTCCTGCCGCCCGCTGCTCCCCGCAGCAGTGTGCTTCGGTCCTTCTGCCTGCTCTGCTCCCTGCTCTGGCTCTGGTGAATTCTCTCACCCTCCCGCGCTTCTGACTGTACCCAGTGCATGTATAAACAAAAAAAAAAAAACAATCAAATAAACAAACAAATAAATAAAAACATGCCTCTATTAAAAAAAAATAAATAAATCTTTTATAAAAAAAAAGAACTGAGGTACAGGCCAGAAGTAGGGGTGAGAGGATTCACCAGCGACAGAGTGGGGAACAGAACAACATAACAGGCGGATTGACTGAAATATACTGCTGAGGGGAGCAGTGGCCAAGTCAGGAGAGGTCTGCTGTGCCATGTGGGTCACCTCCCTGGTCAGGGATCGAACTCATGCTGCAGTGGCTGTGGAGAGCTTCACAGTGCTGCATCCCACCCCCTTGTGCCACCAGGAGGCTCATTTTTTATGTGTTTCCATCCAAGGCTCACATGACCAACCTCCCACTCTCAGGATTAAGTTCAGCTACTATGCTCCAATGCGGTGAATTGGGTGTCTTCAGATGTTTCAAGAAGATATACTTTGCTCTAAGTATGGAGGAATGGACAGGAACTTCACCTGCACACATTCACAGCAAGACGACTACAGACAGATTTGATCCTCAGTTTACAAAGACCATATAGCGGTAGGTTAAATCACATTACATTATTAATGTTATAATTTATAATTGTCATTACATAATCTTTATGGAACTTTGACTAATGGAATCGTTATCCTTGAGACGATTTATAAACACACGTACAAGCAGTTATCACTTACATATTAGCACAACTAACACATTTGAAACATGATACATATAAATAGATTCTATAACTGGCTATTGTGGCCAATAAACTTCAAATTAGGCCAAATTCTTACCCAAATGAACTCTTGAAGGTAACTTTCATAATGCCTATGAATCATAAAATTCCTCTCAACCTTCCCTTCTAGCATCCATGAGACTGGTTTTAGGCACTGCAATCATTTGGAAATTCAAAAGGTCACATTTTAGCAAGAGAAATTCCTTAAAGTTTCTCATTTATAGTTAACCACATCCAGTGAGGAAGAGCACACTTACTGTACTGAGATTAGAACAGAAGGTAGGTTTTTTTAAATTTTATACTTGCTTAACACCTAAAAGAGGGTGGCTTTCTTAAAAAAAAGAGAGAAAAGAAGTAAGAAAAATGAGCTAAATACTGTGTTTTTGTATGTTTTCATGGTTGATAGTCTCCATGACAAACACTAAATTGCTATGCTAATTAGACGGGTAAGTTACAAAGAGCAGAGATAAATCAGAGTTACCTCAGTCCTGAGGTATTTATTCCAAGGAGACTAGAGCTCTCAGTCAGGTATGAGGCCTCAAGAACAGGAACTGTTCCAATTCTAATTAGAGAGAAAAATGGGGACCTAAGTGTATTTGAGCCTCCTGGGAACCTGACTGTCTTCTGGAAGATCATTCCAGAGGAGAGTGAGGTGGCTCTGGCAGATAGGTAATCTTACCAATTTCTGCTCCTGCTGGGCCAGTAATGTCAT